AGGTTTATATTGTACCGACTGTATGTCGCTTACACTTTTGTTCTTGGTGAGTCGTGTGCTACCTTATTCCTCGCCCATGATTATTCGGACAACATTTAATGTAGCTTGTACACAAAATGTAGGGTCCATGTGCCACTTTAGTAATCCGGTTGGGCAAGTTTTACGTGTTCCAACCTCTCACTGCCATCCGAAGCAATCCCAAGAGACTTAAAGAAAAGGAGATAATTGAAGGTGGAAGATATGGGTTTGTTAATCGTTAGACCCGACAATCCAGTTGCTCCTCACCACTGGGGCATGTGATAATTGCCTACTGCTCCTGCGTCCTCAAGTTCTTGAGACCTACTAATCCACCAAGCTTCCCTGTCAGCATGCAGGCTTAGCTCTGATTCGCGCTTAATAGACCGTCTACTTACATAGTGTTCAAATTCGCCGAGAGGTTTCTTCTGGATTCCAACAGGCACACCGACCTCTCGGATATCCAGTGATTGATGCGGTGACGATTGACTGTGCCACAAGCAGAGGGTCGCGCATGGTGCATGACGGCCGACAAGCGTTACCTCTCGAGCAACTGGTACTGGACTTCACGAGCCTCCGGTCCCAGTATAAAAATGCAATCACGATTAGATACAGAACGCGGGGGTTACACAACCGCAATGAAATTGCTGTCACATTGATTAGTTTAAGCGAAATATTTCGCAGTTATTTGACCGAAATATATTATAATATAAACAATCACCTGCTTCTAATAGGACATAATAAATTAAATTAAAAAGTTCAGAAATAAGTCTTATATCGAAAGACCGAAATGGGACCCACCCTCAGTCACTTGAGTGAAAGTGGTTTTAACTGGGAAGACAACCGAGAACAGAAGTAGATCAAGTGACCACATCACCTACACTGGACTCGGACGCGAAATAGCTTCTGCGTAATTCAATCAGAGCCTTTCCGATTACCTTTATGTACATTAAGGAGCACACCAAAGTGGCCAAACCGGACTACTGACACTACCACACCAATTTTATCGTCGAATTGACTCGTTGGCACCAGTCGATAATTGTGTTATGTTCGAGACTCGCCGTTATATCGAAAAGTCCTTGCAGACATTTTCTAGGAGATCACTTCGCAATATCGCGAATGAAAGCTTCAGTCAAGAGTTATGTTTGATATAATGTCATTGACATTATCTGCGGCACAATAACTGTTTTCTACCTGCAGCTAACGTATATGATGAATATAGTAAATAAGTGATATTACCAGCCAGGAGTGTGTCACAGCGTGTAACAATTACGCTCCAGCGGCGAAACTTTCAAGCAAAACCACCCAACCCTGGATTCAAGCTACCAAGCCTTAAGAGAAAATGCACGTTGAGTTCGCCGGGGTAGTGAAAGGCCAGTGTTTCTTAGTTGCGATTGATTCGAACACCAAGTGACCGAACGTGCACCTGATGAATACGATCACGACAGCGGCCACAGTACGAAAATTACAACAGTTAGTTGCACAATTCGGTTTAACGATCCTGGTTTCCGATAACCGTACACAATTTAGCTCCGATGAATTCATTGCTTCCTGTCAGCGTAATGTCATCAACCACAATTGCCACCTCCGGGGCATCCCCAGCCTACCAGACAAATAAAAGGATTCGTGGACACCAGCAAGCGTTCATTTCAAGAATTACAGATGAAACGACAGACAGAGGAGATCGTACAGCTGTTCCTGTTGTTACCGGATTACGCCTAACCCCGCTGCACCAGGCGGCAGATCCCCAATGGAAGCCATGTTCGGATGTGAAACACGCTCACCAATTGATGCAATATACGCACACAGGCTAAGCAACGGCCAGCTGCATCAAGCATGAGCCGGAGTATGCTTCCAGAGGGATCTGTTAGTGCATCAGGTGTAAGACCTAGCTACCAAACCTGGCAATCTGCAGTGGTACGAAAAATGAAAGGAACTGTGCCGTATGAGGTGTTTATCGGACCGCTGTCTTTCAATCAGTACATTCATCAGCTACGCAGAAGACGGATGGAACACATAATCTCTTCAAGTTCCGAGTTGCCGCTGGATGCACGTCTAGCAACGTTTGAACCACGAAAAGCGGTGGACATCAGTGAGCCGACGGAAGCGCGTACAGAGCCTTGTCATGCAGTCGTTCGGAGATCCATGCCGACAACTAAACCGATCCGACGATTACAGGTGAGGCATGTGCTACATTCCTAGGAGCCAGGACAGCAGGGCATTTTCGAGGAAGAATATGTCAGGTCCGGCGATCTGGTGTCAAAAACTACAACGTCATAGCGCGTCTCTGGACATGAACTTCGCACTCACATACTCAGCTGCTGTGGTCCATGTGTATGAGATCACCGATCACATGATGCGGTCTGTCTGACACACACTAACCTTACCCTATACTGTCGTGCTTGTTCTTGACTTGACGTTAGGTCAGTATACTCGCCGGCGCGGTGAAGTCGTTGTCCTGAGGGCTCGACGCTCAAGCTAACGCGAGTATAACAGGACTGTCTGGGATAAAACGTAGCATACCGACAAGAAAATATTACATCACCGCGTTTGCAATCAAGAGTAAGAGAACTACTTGAGGACTACTCCACCAGATCTCCCAACGGGGCCATACACTACAGCGCAACATCGCCAGCATGTTTGCATTAAATAACCGTGGGGTGTATGAATAAACGTTCGACATGAAAAGAGAACAGAAACTGTCATAGGAGTGCTCCCTGCAGAACATCACGGAAGACATATTTTACCGTGTAACTGAGTAAAGTGGGTACGATTCATAAGAGTCACGCAACAGAACACACACACCGTCGGTTGTACTCCATTCTCGGAAATCAAACTGAGTCACATTGACCTATCCAAATTTCCGAAGGCATTTGAATAAGCAAAGAAAAGAAGCCACAAGGATTTAGTTATTGGATTCAGTGCATAGGGTATAGAATGAACAGGGTACATGTGTAATGGAGCTTGTTGTGAGGAGAAGATTTCAACGAGGACACGACACTATGCTGTTGCCCAAACCGAAGTAAGAAGTAGGGGATATGACGTCGAGTCTTTGGCTCAACAACCTATACCGAAGACCGGGGGAAGAATTTTGGGAGTCGCGCGTACTAGGAAGTGACTACAATCGCATAAGGCCAAACCTCCGGTACACGAATGGTCCAAAATGTTACGGAAAATGTGGAATCACATCGGAAACACGGAAAGATGCGATTGACTCGAGCACCAATAGGGTCCAAAACACGTCAAACTAGAGCACTTTGGATCGCAGAGTACTCATGAACGAAACAAAGAATTAATCACAAGGCGCACCAGCAACGAAGGGTCACAACCGGAGGAGCGCTACAAATAGTGTAGTTTTAATGTATTCGTCCCAGCAGCTCACAAGCTACATAGCTCAAGCACAATCCGGAAAAGCATCAAACGCGTTTCGCCCTATTGGGGCTCGTCGGTGGGGCGCATGCCCACGGTCCCCTACTGGTGTTTGAACCCATGACCGAGAGAGACTAACGCCAAGTAGCCAGCAGTTTGAGTCACTGAGCCAGGGGGACGGTGGATGGGCTAATTTGCAAGCTAACTGGGATATAGAAGGACCTATCTTCCACTGCCACCCACATTACTACCTTTGCATGTGACAGTGGCTAGCCTTCCAGGTCATGACTTCCTCCCAAGATACGCTACTTCAATAGCAGTTGAAACTAGGAAAGGTTACATTTTATAGTAATGATTGCTTTTTAGCTAATCGAGACTCGGTAATTGCTGTTTCGGAGAGATACGTAACGAAACGTAGGTAAATGGGAAAACGGTATCGTGGGACCAACTAAGGAAAAAGGGAATAGTTGGGAAAACAGGAGATAGGATAATAAAATGATACTATGCTGTTGCGCAAATCAATGAGCTCAACAACATGTCACTTCTGTAAAACGCGTTAAAGAACGAAGCATCTCAAACCCAATGCCAGAAGTTGTAAATGTTGCATGATTTTCACTGAAAGCCACGACACTCCCCAACACTGCACGGGATGCATTCCATGTCGAACTGGAAGCATGCCGCTCAGTTATCCTCTCGACGCATTGAAGCGTCATCTGCTCCATAAGCCTCAGGCGATGTTATAAGCAGGTCATTCGACCAGACGTGAGCTAATTCGAGGTCTTTCAACACAAAGATCACGCTTCATGAGCGGTCTTAGTAGCAAATCGTCACAATCAAATATCCGGGATTGCCTATATAGGGCCGGTAAATCAATACCCAGTGCCTCTGAAATATGGCGAATCGGCTCAAAGGTTAGTTGATAACATGCTATCGGACGCGGCCAAAGTGACTGGAACAAATGAGGTTGGCGGCTCAGGTAAACCACGGTTCAAAAAAGACAGCGTAGCGTCACCCAAGTGCAGTGGGCATCCCCAAGTTGGCACCTTGGGTGCAAGAAACTCGATCTGAGCCAAAGCACTCGGGGTACATGTGGCCACAATTGAGTTGGGATCGGTGTGCTGAGTGTAGAGGCGGTCTTGTCAAGGAACGGATGATGTTCGTTGTTGTGTTGGATCAGAAAGGAAACGCGCAGAGAATGTATAACTTTGACGTAGTCGCATGCTAAGTGTTCTAGGAATGAGCGCGATGCATTGGAGCCCACGGGATCAAACGAATAAACCTGCGGATTGTCTACTGAGTTTCGTTTAAAGACTGCTGAGCAATGCGTTAAAACAGGCAACTGAAGGATTGCCGGTAAACTGATAAAGTGATCAGCTAAATCAACGAGCGCACCGAAAAGTACCAAGCGTGTGTTTCGATAGACCATGTGGGACAACACGCTGGTCAGATAAGAGAAGTAAGTGCTGATTTTGATCTCAGACATATTAGGATTCAAGTAGACTACGAATTAAAAAATGTATAAAATATAGCATGATAACATCCGCATGCCCAGAAAGTCCGAGTGGAAGAGTTCCTCAAGCAAACACGTCAAAAGATTGCTAGAGATGAAAAACATTTCAAACAGAAGTATGCGTGATTGCCATAGATGTTGTGTTTTGGTTAGTACCCAAACTTTGACAAAGCCATAACAAATGACGCAAAGACAGAAGCTCTCGCCAAGTTGTGAGTTCAGGGTGTGAGGAGAGCTTGTGTGTGTAGCACCAATAGAGAAAATCCGATAAAGAAGTGATTGTCGGCCGTTCCTTGGCATACAATCGCAGGACTTCTGATGCTTTTGGCAGTTGAGGTTCAATGTGACTGAGGGCCATAGAAATGCGATCGCAACTGCACAGTTCGCACAAAAGCGATAAGACCGATCGTCTGAAAGTGGATCAAAATTAGAATTCGATAAGTGATCAAGATGTTAGGATAAGAAATCGAGAATCGAACTAGCGGTTGATGTAACTGAAGAGACGAATGAAACTGACTACAGAACGGTGAAGTAATCCCAGTGTCTGCGAATACCTTTCATATAGTGTAAGCGTCAAATTGGGTGGAAATTCGCATGGTATAAGTGATATCGAGAAAGGTTCATACAATGGAGAACACAGCGGTGACGTTCGGGCACCTGAACTTGTGTGGCCCTAGACGGCTGGCACATCCGGCTAGCTGCACAGTATACTTCCCTTGAACAGCTGAAAGTAGCTACGCAGTAAAATGTGGTGAACCCGAGTTAGGGCCATCCGGTGAACTGGGTCAACCTGTACAGTACAGTTGAAAAACTATGATAAAGGCACTGAATTCTGGGGGGTCCAGCTGCAAAAGACGCGCGTTACCAGGCAAATAATAAGCAAGGACGGCTATGGATATGAGGTAGAAAAGAAGTTGGAAGGAAGATGAGCAAAATCAAACGGGACAAAGTGTTGACAGCCAGATACAAGAAACAATGCGAGGGTGCGAATGACTGAGCGAGTGTACCTATTCCGACAGATAGAGTCTGCAACCAGTGGTGTGGACCATCCCCAGGCCCCCATCCAAGAAGACTGCACGCATGGGGCTAACCAAATTTCCCAAACAATTTCTTTATGTCCTTACGCCAGGTCACCAAATGTTCAACTCGCAGTTTCGCCCAAGCTGGTTCAACGAACGTGATAATGCTAGGCGGGAAAAGTGGTAAACAGTCAACCGGAGGACATGACCTAACCAACGCAAGTATCTCAAACTTCAAGACCAATAGATGATTCCTTTTTAAATATTTACTAATGAGGCTGAGCGTGGTCCAACAGAGGTCTCCGCCATACGTGATCAATGTTTAACAAACACCGCTGGTTGAAAGCACCCAGATTTATGATCCGTACCGTAAAACGGCTATATCGCAACTTCATACCCCTTTTGACCGACACGATGATATTCCGCTACATTCACAGATGACTGAGCATCGGGAAAACTACATGAGCATTGCTGAAATGTGTAGTAATTGCCTCCATAACGGGACTATCAGTGATGAAAAAGCTACCAGAATAACGAAGGAGGGAAAAATTATTGCAGACGTCAAATCAGCAAGGGAATCTATTGATAAACTGCTGTATCTATAAATGTGTTCCATCAATCGTAAAAAGCAAGCGTAGTCTTTCTGAAACAGTCCATAGGATATGATAGGAGAGCAGTAGAAGCAATGGGACATAATGTATGAAGTTAAAAACGTAAATATTAGGTTATGGAGCACTGAAAGCACCTTAAATCTGAGGGTATAAAAAGAATGTTTTCAGACTTTAGGAAAGATTTCCCATACGTGCGCGGAACAAGAGAGGTTTCAGGACAAGGATACCGAGATAATCGACAGTGGATGGTCTGGATATGAGGGTGTCTTCAGAGTGCGAAAGATATCCATGAGAGAACGCAACTTATATGTTCGAAGAAAAGGAAATATTACATCACGGCATTCGGGAGCGTTAGGAGCAATGGATCTGAATAAACACCACTCCACCAAATCTCATAACCCACGTTAAAGCAAAGATGAGGACACAATGGTGGAGACGATACACATCAGCACAACATCATTAGCATGCCTGGATCAAAAAAACGCAGGTCGTACAAAAAGACGTTCCAGATATAAGGAAAATAGAAAATGTGGTAGGACCGCTCTCTGCAGAACACTACGCCAAGAAGCAGAAAAGACGATCTCTTACCGCTTAGCCAGGAAAACCGATTATGATGTGTAAAGATCAAAAGGCAGATTGCACACACGGGTGAACTCAACTCTATGAAAGCAGAATGAGCAACAGGCTTCGCTAGGCGTTTAAATAATCAAGGGAAAGAAGCCGCACGGATTTACATAGTTGATCCAGTGCAAATAGTATGGAATGAACAAGGTATACTACTTCATTCAATTTAGAGCGCTGATGTCCATATGCGAAGTGATAGATATTCTTAGCAGGCCTGGCAGTAAGAAATCTATGAAAGAAGCAGTTTTTCAGTAGCACATGTACACGCAATCGGGTGATACTTATGCGATCCACTTTTGGCACCGGGGTTATTAAGGCCGATCTCCGAATGTCTGGAATCACAATCATAGTGAGGCATTTATTGAAGAGATCTGTTAAGTTTAGAATAAGAGAATCAGCACATTCTCTCAAAGTGACTGGTAATAGATCAGCCGGACCACCAGCTGTGTTTGAGTTTAGTCCTTTGAGTTGTTTGTGAATATCGCCTTAGTAGGAGGGCGAAGTTGAAATTGATCCAATAAAGAAGCGCAAGGGGGATGAAGCTGACGAAACGGAGCTAAACTTAATTGACCTACATCCACTTCAAGACTCCGGCCTCAGGCGCTCTTACCATACATCACGGTAGTTGTGGTGGCCTAGAACCGCACAGATGCATGAATTATTCCGCTCCATTACCACAGGTTTAATTGTCAAGATTATGCTACTGATGCGTTCCTAAGCCCGTTCCTTATTCCCTCGAAGTCGCTTCGGCAGTGGTGATAAAAGTCTAACTGCCCTTAGATAGATCGATTCAACAGGGGAACACAGGTTAAATCGAAATTTAATGTAGCCTGTAAGATAGACGCATTAAATAGACAGGTCCACGCCGCTGAAGTGAAAAATCAATTGAGGAAAACATGGACTGGGGCCTAGTGATATTTTTAATGGAGCAGTTTCGCCGTTTGATAACGTTGAATGGACGAATATTTAGTGTGATAAAATTTGGTTCACCGTATAAAAACGGACAAAAGTTAAGGACTCAGTTGTCTGAGCTGCTCAAGAAAGTCCATCTTTGTGTCGAAAACAAATACCCATTTGGTCGAAAGCCACTAAATTTACCAAGCTAAGCGTTAACCTGTATGTTGTATACCTTCTATTAAATTCACTAGCAGGAATGCGAACAGAATGGCCTAGCGTCGAAGAAAGTCCGCGAAAGCTTCAAATCTGATGTAGATGTGTCACGAACCACGTAGACGTTTCCAGCGATGACCGATTGAAATCCACTTACGAAATTTGGTTTGCATTCCATAGAACTTCCGCTCCGGAGGAGGCTAAGAGAATAGAGTTATTTATAATCATTTCGATCACGAAGTCAAAGTGAAAAGAAGATATAAGGCAACTCCACCTGTAGAGTGGGAATAAGGAAACACCTCGTGGACCGTTATCCAGCAGTATAAGTCAAGGTAGAGAGACTTCGGAGTAGAAGCGTTTCTCTGACACCAGACCGTTCAGCGATGGGCAGTACCACGAGGTAACATCATCAACCGAGATAAGCGGCATTCAAATCAAGGAGAACCCCCCCCCCCCATAGTCGGTCGTCTGTGTGTGTGTCGCTATTCCAACACTTGACACGGGGCAGAGATTTGATCAGCACAGCCTTGGCTACAGTGAAAGCCAACCTTTTGAGTGCTCCAAATGATGCTGGATAGAGCCGTAAGACCAGTCGCCAATGAGTCACCTCCATCTTGCAGTCGGCCCCTGGCTGAAAAGGACAAGGCATCTGCTTGGCAATGCGAAGGTCGCGGGTTCGAGCCTGCGTAGGGGACCAGACGACTCTCGCAGTATCCTTATCTATCGCGAGACCGGTGGTTGCGTGACAGCGTAGCGTGAAGATGGAAGAAGGTCGTCCGGTCCAGGGGCCTTGTCTCGTTACGAAACAGCGGAGTAGTGCTGAATCTCTTCTGAAGTGGAACGGCAACTTACCACGTGCACTCAGATATTTCAGCAAATGGCAGCGTCTCAGAAGTCTTGCCGAACTAGCCGCAAAAATGTTCCGCCCGAAGGATTAGTCGACGCGGATGGGAAGGGAGCAACTGTCCACCTTTGCAACCATTGTCTCACTAACCGAGGAGTGCTGCGGATGACCTGGAACAGTACTCAGTTGTTCCCAATAGCATTAACTTTCTCTATCCCTTGGGCCATTGTTAACCACTAATACTCCGGCTCAATTCTAGGAAGCCTAGTCAATGGTCGTTTCTGTGTACTAAGACCCGTGGTTCGTTCATACAGATAGATGCTTCAAAAATCTGCACGCAATTGTGGCCCACTAAGTCAAATGCATAGACTGCAAAGGCAACCTTCACGGCACGTTGGGTCCGAGTATAGTCGGCATTCCACTTACAAACGTCATTCGCCACCGGTGGGTCAGTTCATCATGATACTGCTGTATTGGGAACTGTGAGCACCTGTTGTGAAACAAAAGCACGGAGGTTCAGTGTTGAAACCGCGCAGGACCGTGGTCGCAAACCAAACGTCTATTTCAAATTGACCTGCAGTGTTCACCAAATGTAACTGATGACAACATGATCAATTTGTGTTCAACATATTTGTGAATTCGGTTAGTGACAGGTGAGACGATGTGAAAATTTGTGTTGGAAAGCAGTGCTGGTAATATAAACATTGTGGACAGCATATAGTTAAAAAACGATTGCCACTCGATGCGCATCAACCTCGAAACGGTCTCTCGGCTGTTGTCCAAAGTCCGATAGGCGGCGCACTTGGGCATTTGTGTCACCAGCAACGATCACGAGGTCAGTAACCTTCGCAGTCCTGATAAGAGACAAGCGTGGACGATAGAATTCGTTTTCGCTATCCTATGGGCATAAATCGAAACGTGCTTCGAATTTATACAGTGTTTAGTAGGCTTCAAGGAAGCAAGAAGTTGAATCGTACACAAGTGGCTGTTCACGAGTATCCAGTCAAAAAGATTTCGTTCAATGTTTCTGCCAAAAGGATTTCTGACAAGTCGATACCTTGCAAAACTGATGCAATATCACTAGGAGAGAAAACAATGTAGTCATGATAGACAAACATCGAACCAGGCAATCTGAGACATAGTATGTTTACATCCCGTATGACCGTTTCGATGAAACAGAACTTCCAGAGAGTGAAGAGTGA